CGTTTTTTGATATCAATATATCAATATATATATATATATATATATAATATATTAATTTTAAAATACAGTTACGAAATTACACTATATATTTATTTATTTAATTTAATTTTTATTATTTTTTTCTGTATTTACACATTTATTTATTTTATATTATATATATATATATATATATATATATATATAAATATATATATAATGATAATTGTACATATATTTAATCAATATCATTATATGTGTATTTTGACATTAATATATATTAATATAATGCACTTAGTGTTTGTGTATTTATTTGTATGTGTGTATATGTGTGTGTATATATATATATATATATATATATATATATATATATATATATATATATATACTTAGATTATATATATATATATGATATAAGTATATATAATATAAGTATATATAATTTAAAGGGACACTATAGTCACCTGAACAACTTTAGCTTAATGAAGCAGTTTTGGTGTATAGAATATGCCCCTGCAGCCTCACTGCTCAATCCTCTGCCATTTGGGAGTTAAATCCCTTTGTTTATGAACCCTAGTCACACCTCCCTGCATGTGACTTGCACAGCCTTCCATAAACACTTCCTGCAAAGAGAGCCCTATTTAGGCTTTCTTTATTGCAAGTTCTGTTTAATTAAGATGTTCTTATTCCCTTCTATGTTAATAGCTTGCTAGACCATGCAAGAGCCTCCTGTATGTGATTAAAGTTCAATTTAGAGATTGAGATACAATTATTTAAGGTAAATTACATCTGTTTGAAATTGAAAACATTTTTTTTTTCATGCAGGCTCTGTCAATCATAGCCAGGGGAGGTGTGGCTAGGGCTGCATAAACATAAACAGAAAGTGTTTAACTCATAAATGACAGTGAATTGAGCAGTGAAATTGCAGGGGAATGATCTATACACTAAAACTGCTTTATTTAGCTAAAGTAATTTAGGTGACTATAGTGTTCCTTTAATTTTACACTGTTTTAAACTTTAATTATTTTTTTCCGGCAACAGGGGGAGTACCTGTCATTACAGGCACTCCCCCTGCTGGCATTGACAAGGACGGCTATGCCGTCCATGTAATCGTAAGGTCCTCGCAAGGACCTCGCGATCACATGGCCCAGGGGGGCCAAAGAGGAAGGAGGGGGACTCCCTGGGATCGACGTCGACTGGGTAAGTACATGTGCTATGCCGCCCCCAGGCATTTAGAGCCAGGTCCCTAAGGACAGCATAGCACGCCCGCCATCCTTAAGGGGTTAAATGCTCCTTTGTTTATGTTTTCTCACAACAGTGATCAATACATGCCTGATACAACATCTACCTTCACCTGCATGAACCCTTCCTTGGGCAACAATGCCCAACATTTTGTAAGGGTTCCGTTTGGGGAGAGTGATTTTAAAAAAAATCTGCCTCATAAAATAGAGTTACGCTATGTGGATCTTTTTGTATCTTTTTTAAGGTACTGTGAAAACTGTTATACACAGTGTATCCTACGACTGTGGATCCAACCTGTGTGGCAATATCACTCCCCCACTAACTACCCAAGGACTCTTGGACATCACAGTATTTCATTTATTTTGAAGTAGTACTTGCTGAGATATATATGCTGCTGATTTGTTTTAAGTAATTTTTTACAAACCTTATAACGTGCATATACTGTTATTTCTACCACAAAAGATTGTGGGTGGACATATGCAAATTAGTTTAACAATGAATCACATTTTTGCCTCATTCCATTTTAAACAAGAATTCCTTTGAGTCTATGTTTGCTGTATACAACAGCTTTGAAACACAACTCAGGAAAAGATGCAAAGCCCAAGCACTACCAAGCCTCAATAGCAAACCAGTAGCCAACCTCATGCCGATGATTTGCATTAACAACGAAACAGCTGTCCATGAGTGGTTCACTGGCTTTGCATCTTTTCCTAAGCTGTGTTTCAAAGCTGTTGTATATGGTTGTATTATGGTTTATATGGTTATATTTCTATATTATTTCATTGTTAATGCAAATCATCAGCATGAGGTTGGTTATTGGTTTTCTATTGAGGCTCGGTAGTGCTTGGGCTTACCAGAGAAAAGTAATGCTTGCATTAATGTGCAAGCTCTATATTTGATGCTGTAACTTTTCTAAACCCTAATATGTACACGGGGGGAATTGTTGTACTCGTGAAACATTGCTGAACACAAATATCAGTGTTTTATTATAGTAAAAGCTAATAGTATTATGTCATTCACGTTTAAAGCGCCACGCAAAACTTTTCTTAATTTCTCACACTATTAACTTTTTAGATTTTATTCATATTAAATTATGTTTCATATATTAATATTTGATATGAAATGAAAGCCCTGTTTCTCCTAAACAAAATGATATATAATAATTGTTGATGCACTTAATATGAAAGAGTTAAATTATGTCAGGGATTAAAGTTAAGAAATGTAAACTGATGCTTCATTGACCTGGCTTGGCTCTACTTATAACAAATCCACCACTCATGAGTACTTGATCTCCCCAAAGCGTGTATGTGTAAATGGCACTTACTCACTCCCCACTTATAAGATGCAGTCCATTAGAATTTATATATTTTCCAATTGTTTTGTTGATTAGATAGCCTGCTCTATATGTTTGTGTTTTGTTATTTGAAGGCACAAGACAGATTATTTGAAATGGCGTTTGAAGCCCTTAAAGAAGTATTCGTAAACTACATTTATAATTTATTTTTTTGTTTGAACTAATTTTATGCTCCCCTCCCCTCCTGTGTGATTGCTACACTTTGTGAGCAAGGCACATTATTGATTGTTTATGTTACTTTAGTAATGTGCTACTATAGAACACCATATTCATCAAGAGCATAAAATCATTTGAATTGTTTTTTTAATAAGAATTATTTTTATTTTGGCACCTATATGGTAGACTTATATATTTTTTATATTTTTGCAATTTATATGGGCTAAACGGAAGAAATGAGTGGCATCAAAAATTAGACCAGTAGAAGACGGCAGTTTGGGCTACCCCAACATAAAGCCGCATTGTTGTCCACTATAATATCATCACACAATACAGACTACCCCCCCAATGGATAGATATTGAGGCTCATTGGGCGCAAAAGACAAAACTATCACACCTGATTTTGCGACCGAAAATGCAAAAAAAAGAACGGCACTGCCGAACCACTTGCCAACCACTGCCACGCTGCTTACAGTTTGGGACACATATATGGATACACTATGCCATGGTGAACCATGGCCTATGGCCACAGCATTGCAAAGCATACAGGTCATCAATCCCACATTTGACCATCGCGTATGGACGTCCTGTGGTTGCACACACATACAACACCTGTTCTCACAAGGGGCAAAATAGCAGAGGTTTAGAATATATGGGACACCTATGTTAAGGGTACTGAGCAGCTACGATGATCTGGAGC